AGAGTTGATCCAATACGGAAGATAATGCATGACAGTGGAAACCAAATCGTAGCAAAAATAAAAATCGGAGGATAAAATTTGAATTTATGTTTCATGGAAAGCCATGCAAATAGAATCGCATTCATTGCTAATAAATATTTTGGAAAAGGAAAATAATCTCACGAAAGCCCTAAAAACACGTTTGGATGTGTATTACACTCCTGAAAATAAATTTTGATTTTAATTGCCTGAATAATAAACATTAACTTGCCTTAATATTAAATTCAAAATTCATTAAGTATTCATTTTCACGTCAAGATAACATTTCTTTGAAATTAACCTAAACATTTCATTCGTTTTAAGCCTCTAAAATGGCGGTACATGATACGTTAATCAAGAAATTTTAAGAAATATCACTTGAATTCGCTAAACACTTATTACTAATTTATAAATATCTTTATTCGCAGTGTCAAATCATGTGCTTTATATTATACCGTGTGAATACTTGAACAAATCTTTTACCATTTTATACTTATGGAGGTGAAGGGTCGAACGGTGGGGTGAAGCTCAATTTTTGGTTCAAGTGTAACTTTTCTAAAATAGCAAGTTCCCTAAAGCGTGCCTGCAGTTTCTGCTGTACTTCGTTTGAGAGAGCTATTCGAACCGTAAGTAAACATTCTTGTAATGATGATGCCACCCAACTACATTCATTTGGTTTTGTATTTTTGAGAATTATTTTAAAATATGTGTTATTGCTATTTGTGTCTTTAGGATTATTGTTTTAAATGAAATATGACTAAAAATTCCATGCAAGTGAAATTACTCCTTAATTCTGCCAGTTTAGGCTGATGCTGATATTGTCAGACAAAAAAAGGCGGGAATGAAATTTCAAAAAAGAGCTGAAGTTAAAAAACATTAAATTAAAAAAATGAGTTTAAAACTACTTGAAACTTTTACAAAGTGTTTTTTAAATAAAATTTAGTTGTTTCAAAAAAGTTGAAAAACGCACATACGAATTACATAAATATATAGGACTTAAAATAATTCATAAGCGGGAAACTTTTATGCAGGTTTTAGAAAAAGATTCCATAGTTTCATGATTAAACCACATGTAAATTTCAGATGAGCTTGATTTTCACAACGAATTTATCTTATCGACCAAAGGAAAAATGAATATGTGTGTTAACATACCACTTTTCTAATAACTTATCCAACTTGATATTTTTTTGAATTCCTTTGTAAGATCATTGCTAAATGTGTACTTTTATGTTTTTGTCTTGCTCAAATTGTATCCGCAAAGCAGTGAAAGTGTGAAACACTAGCTTATTTCAAGGACAATTGATTAGTATTTGAACATATTTTAAATATTCATAAAAATAGGCCAAACGGTAGTATAGACAAGATGCTATGACAATGATAATTAATTGGAAATGTTCCATTCGAAATAGGAAGTATGGCCAGTTTATTCCAAAATCAAAATTGCAAGTAGTATAAATTACGATCCTATGATGCGTAATCCGTCGATGTAAATGAATCGGAAAAAATATTCAACAATTCTATAATAAGGGATTTTTAATTTTTTTCTCAATTTAGCTTTTCAAGGGGAAAAAATTATCAGACTTGAACATGAGCTTTTGTAGTTTAAGGTTGATTTAGTTCAGCAGCACGATTTTGTGGAATTAATTAAAAATAGTCAAAAATTTAAATTTTAACATTTTATTGGAAATCCTTGATACTGAAATAAATCGTAAATTTTACGTTCTAAATAGACGTACCTCATACATTAACCAAGCAATCTGTACTTTTCACTAAGTTTGTTATAAGGTACAATAAATGGGAAAAACTACATTCACATGTCCTTATTCTTCAATCAAAATACTATAACGTATTGACAGATATTATTTCTTAACGATGGCAACCGAAAGTTAAGAAATATCATAAATCATTTGATATATAACTATCCTAAAATGGCGATTATCTTTGATATATGTAAGATATTTATTGGCAGGGATGTTAACATGGTAAATTATCCTTCTCAATCTTAAAATTCATTTTATGGCAGATAATTGTGTAGTGTTCAATAACAGCAAAATATACACATAAAAATTCAGAATGAAATATTTTTAAATAACAAAAGGTAGAACCAAATTAATTTAAAATAATAGTTTACTTTAAACTGTGTTTATTAAAATCAGTAAATTCCTTCACGATAAAAGAAGGTAATTATAGTTAAATACATATTATTTAAAATGATTGTTTTAAAATTATGTCAACGAAAATACAAAAGAATATGACAAACAGTTTCAATGAGTGTTAATATCAAATCAACTTGTAAATTTGTTTTTTGGTAAGGGCATTTGTGTGTTTTGATTGGTTTTAAGAGAAGGTAAAGATTAAAATTGTAGGAAAAGTAAAGTGTATTAATGAGACATCTTTGGATATAAAATAAAATGCTAATAATAAATTAATATGAAGGTTCTTTATGTTTTGGGGAGAAATTGGACATTTATTTATTCTTAGGTAAAGGCATATCATATAATCGTCTTATTCTTTTAAAATTAAGGGTGCATTCCACGATATATCATACTCAAGATGAAAAGAAGTTATGATTTCTTACAATGTACTTCTCCATGATTACTCTTCTACTATAGCAAGCTTACTATTTGCAATTCTAAGTTGACGTTTAACTAGAAATTAATAATTCTTTGCTTACACTTTAATTCTTTCTAACACTGAGACAGAGCATTTTCATTTCTGTTTTAAAATCCAATATTTATTTGGCTAACCACAAGCAAAAAGCAAATAAATTCCTAATTTTTTAATATGTTAAGAGAATAAGATCAAAAAAGATATTGGTTAAACACGAAAATCTGATTAGAATAAATAAATGCAATGATTTAATCCCCCAGAAAAGAAGAAAGAAAAAAAGAAAAGGATACCCCCTTCAAGAAAAGATTATTGAGATACTTTTTTTTTTTTTGGATAATTTTCTGATAAGGTTTATTGTCACCTTGGTTTTCGCTATTCGTTAATGTCGTTAATGTATTTGTAATACACAAGTTTCTGATGTGACGTTAATTGTCTACAAAAATACTTTTACAAAAATCTGAAGTGTATATAATTACTTTGATATAAAACTTTATGTATTTATACATCGGATTTGGAGTATCGTAGAAAATTATATAAATATTGTAATTTGAGAAGTTGTAAAAATCTATAACAATTAATTTTCAAAGTCAATCACAAACGAAAATTGCAAACTATTTTATTGTTCCCACATGCTGCACATATTAGTGCCTCTCTGCACAGATGCACATCTCTGTTCAAGCCTCACTCCTTTAAATATAACACTTTTTAATAATTACTAAACGCACCAGTTTGCCTGAAAAGATTATATATATAAAATATTTTAAAGGATATGCACTGTCAGTTACGGTTGTGATTGTATTATGCCTGAAGCTTTTAACTCTTTTGAAACACAAATCATTCACTGACTTTTCTTCATCTCTGGGTAGGATGTTGAATGGAATGGCCCCAAAATTGTGTAATACATATGTATACATAAATACGTATAATTATTCTTAATCACATGTTCTAATCTTATAAATGGTAATTATACACTCTTGTACATTTTATTCGGGCTTCTTTCTTTTAAATATGCTCCCCAGCTTTTCAGTTAAAATATATTTCAATGATCAATACCGATCTTTAAAAGTATGTATATTCTGATTTATTTAACTGAATTTGAATTTGTTTATGAATTAGTATTAATGTATTAAAGTAAGTTCAGTTATTATCAGTTGCTATTTGTGTAAGGGGATGAGGGAATTCGTTCCTTGATATTTTGCACTTTTTGCTGAGAATCTGAGATAAAACATAATGTAATTTATCAAGCACATTACTGATGTATTTGTAAATATTAGCAATCCTGTAGAATTTAATTTTTCGCGAAATCGTGAAGCTTTGTTATTAAGAGCATAGCAAGCCACATTTATCTTGGTTTCATTTTATGTACACTTCCAAATGGAAAATAAACTGAACTGCACTGTTATAAAAAAGCAGTATGTTTATTAGAAATGAGAAAAATCGTAAATGTTCCCAAATCCTAAAATATATTTGAAATATATCGAATTTCTAGAATTACGAACCTCTCGAATCTTTCACATAAAAATTACTGTAAGAACAAATAAGAAAAAATATTTAATATTAGAAAAATATGTTAAGCAGAATTTTTAAGCCAACATTTAATAAAATATAAGTTTGAGAACGCAGTTTTTAAATATAGTTAAAATTTATTAGGAAGAACAAAGGAATTTATTTAAAAAACTACATAATTAAAATGTCTTAAAGTTCTTTTTCTCAGTATTACTTGACAAAAATATTTTAGTGTCAGTTCTAGCTTACATAATTTTCAGAATCTTTTTAAATCAAAGCAAGTAAGAGAGATGATTATTTCAAGAATTAACACAGCTCAATATCAAATTCGGAACGCTAAATTCTATTTAGAAAAATTAACTTATCTCTCTCTGTCTCTTTTTATTCAAAAAAAGGGGGGCAAGGAATGCTTCTACTCGATGCGAATAAAATTGTATATAAATAAAATTGTAAATAGTAAAATTTGTAAATAGTTGTAAATAGTAAAAATTTGTAAATAGTAAAAATAAAATTGTAAATAGTTGTAAATCCAAGGTTTTTCATTCAAATATGTTATGCTTCTTTAAATTAACATTCGAACAAAAAACTGCGAAGATTCAAATTATTGAATACCGAATCATTTCCAAGATTCAAATATTCCATTCCTAATATGTATATTGTGAAATTATGCAATAAAATTAGAAATTACTTATTAGTTTGATTAGTACTCTGAACAATATAAATGTGCATTATGAAATGGTGCGCATTCCTCCATCCCCAAAGAGTGTTGATGTTTAATTAGATGGGATAAATTATGTTATGTGTTTCTTTACAACAAACCCGTTTGGCCTAATGGTGTATGCTTCCCCGATGTGCGACATTTGCAGGCGAGTCTGAGTCTTCCTGGGTCTCCCTTCAATATTCGGCGAGGCAGTCGTGCAAGCCAATTCAGCGTTACTTGGCGCAACGGCCGACGTTTCGGGGACAGGAAACCCCTGGTCCTGCAGACACTGGTCGACGCTCAAGAACATTTACCTTATGCAGACGACAGCAACGCAGTCACCCCTATGTCCGAAGAAAACGGAGCAATTATAATTCCTATGTATACGAATTTAACCTCACAACATTCCAGCTACACATCGCACTCATCGAGAATATCGTACAATTCGCATGGTGACATCTACGGAAAAGGTTTAACGAAAGAAAGTCAGCTGAGGACCAGGTCAAGGTTCTTGCTTGGTCTGTACAATGAGGTTAATATATGTTTTATTCTAATGAACTCATTAAGATTTCCTATCTTCGAAATATAATGCAGGTACTCAGGGCCTGATTACTGCATAGGCTTTAAAGTCTAGCCCTCAGGTTTTAGGGTGCTCCAAAATCATTCTGTAACTCCTCATTACCTTATTTCTTAAGAATGTAAGGGAAATGAGCATTGGGAGCGCTTGAAAGACCTGTAGAACTAGGACCCTAGGCTGCCTTAATCGGGCCCTATTCATACTCAGTAACGAAGCTCTATGTATTAAAATTATCCTACTACCACACTGGAATCTAACGAAACTGATTAATCGCTTTTTAGATTACATTAAGATATCACTTTAAGCTGTTTAAAAATTAAGCTTTTAATGTTTTAGGTTATAACCCATGGCTATAGGAAATATCTTTTATCACTTTCGAAATTTTCAAAAAAGTTATTTCTAAATGGCACAAATTTTTTAGCCACGTGCATTATGAATTTTTAAGAAGAAAGAAGGAGTTCAGGTTGAAAATCGGCTTCTAATGTAATTGTCTCACAAAAATAGTCAAGTTTCAGGAGAAATATACAGCTGTATATTTCTAAAATGGTATCGCTAATGGTATTTTTGAATTCAGATGTCTAAAAAGATAAATAATTTTAAAAATTGTGCTTTCAAATCAAAAGTATTAATGACAGAAAAAGCATAAATAAAATTTCCAGAACTTGTAGAGCTATATTTTACAAACATTTGGTGGTCATTTTATTTCGGAAAAAAAATGTCTAGAATAATATTTCTTTTTATATGAAGATACAGAAACTTTAATGTTTCCTGTTCCAAAAATGAAAATTAAAGTATTTGTAACTTTAAATAACCATAAGAATTTTATGAGCATTTGTCTAGTATAGCAGTTGCCCTAGCAACACAATTCACGTATAATTTACAAAAATTTAACTTCTAGTGTGACTTGTAAATTTAACTTACTCGAGTGTGACATGCATGTCCATGTCACACTCGAGTATGAATGCTAGGATTTAAAAACTTCATCTATTGGTCTGTCAGACAAAATATCCGAATGACTTCGAAATGATTTCTTCAATAGTGAGAAATTTATAAAACAGTATTTTGATCAAATTTTTGAAAATGCGTGAATGCTGGTACATTGGCTATTAGCCATTAATTTTCAGAAATCTAAATCATGAACTCTATTTACTGTCATTCATTTAATTTTCTCTCATTAAGTTAGCAAATAATCTTTTATTTTTCAATAGAATTTGTAGATTGCTTTATAAAATTTGACATCATTACATGCTCTTTCTTCCTTAATTAGCAATGACTTTTGTGAATACTTTGTGCAGAATATTCACTTCAGTGGAGATATCAATTTGTATGATAATAAATATATCTTTCAAAATTCATTTAAAATATAGCAGGCATTCAGAGTAAAACAATATAAACAAAAATATTTTTTGAAGGTCACATTTTTAAAGAAAAATTGTTTTTCAGTGTATCTATTTAATATGTGTGCGTGTCTATTTTAAATCGCAAAACTGGACAGCATTTTGCTTTAAAATTGCATTTAATTAACTGTAAAGCCCTGATTATGTATATGAATATGTGCTGTTGTTTAATAAATCTTCTGTAATCATATTAAATTTCTTTAAGGTTCACAGTTTTAGTGGGCCATTCTTTCATATTCCTGCATGTTTCGCACTTTGCTTGCTGTTTGCTTAAAATGTCTTTCACTTTTATGCCCAATTATTCACAAAATGCCACAATTACCTCTACATTATGATGTCACATAAGTTATTTTGTTCTAAGTTCTTCAAAAATTTTTTTACGCATGCTATTATTAAAGAAGAAATGTTTCACAAAGACTACACTGATATTTTACTTTGGAACATAATGCATAATTTATAGCAGTCCATGCCAATATATTTCTTATTTATGCATTTTTTTAAATGTAATAAAAATGTGTGACACAACTATAAAATACTCTTCAGTGTTCCTATAACAGAGATAAAATTTTTGATGCTGTTATAATGTTTTGCTAGCTATTTGAATAAACAGCTGAAATATTTGACCTCCTCGTATGGAAAAATGATTGCGATATTCATCACCAAGACATCTAACGTGTCAGTACTACATATTCCTTCGTTTCTAGGTGTTAGTAAAAAACTTACACATATTGTTGCGTTTTTACGGGTTCTTAGATTTGGAGTGACTAACGACAAGATTTTATGAAGTATCAAAACACAATTTATTTGCCAGTTTTACTTAGGACAGTTCCAAAAACACGTTTACAGCCGTCGAAAAACTATGACAAGTACGTTGAAACAATCAGCAACACAGCCTTCAGGTTACGACGGCTAAGGCAGCTTCACGGCAAAGCACTAGATTACAGCTCCCGACTCGGTTCAGTCGTTCTCGGAACTCAACGTACTCTCGAGATTCTCCTCGCTAAAACTCGCGATTTACTCGACGATACACTCGATAACCTCAACGATGCACCAGCTGGCGATACATAGACGATAAACTCTCGCGATGCACTAACGTGAGATACACTCGACAACTACCTCGACATTAGACTGCTAATCCACGTACAGACAGGGTTTATATAGCTTTTGGCCTGCCTTCTAGAAAATTCTGAGCCAAACTGGTAAAAATTCGTTTCAGAATATTCTCCACCCGTCTATACCATATCGCCAATTTTGCCGCCAAATGGGCGACTTCGAGCCAAATATGGCTACCGCCTTCCCTTTCTGGCAACCCTAAATCCGCCTTGCGGGGGAAAGCTTTCTTGCTGCAGCTGGACATTCCGTAACAATAAAAAAATCTTGTGGGTATTGGCAGTCGTAGCTTGATGTTAATTTCATGCGTAAAATATTATGGGAAGTGATTTTAATATTATAAGAAGAAAAAAATTGGAATTTTTGTAGTCTTTTTATTTCATATCACAGCCAAATTCTAAAGCTGAATTTTTCAAAATTTTCAGTTTCCCTTTGGTTTATATCACTTATATCTCTTAAATAACTTCTTTAAGTCGAATCTTTTGTAAATAATTTATTTTGGTACACTCTTTTTTATACAAATTAAATACACGTAAGTTTCTTAACTACCAGTTACAGAAAATAAAATGATTAACCTTCTGCGGATGAGAAAGTTCCGCTTATGTAAGCAAGGGCACGGAGACCACCACAGATTATTTTTTCTAAACAATAAAGAAACGGCGAAAGCCTAATTAAAAAAAAACCTTAAAAAAAGGCATGGTTTTTGCAATTTCATTTGCTAATATCTGTATTTTCTTTTTTATATTTATTCAACTTATTAATTTAATTTTTTATCAACTGCCATTGAAAGCTAAAAGATCAGATAACTAATACTGCTTATGGGAAATGAAATGTATTTAATTCATTTTAGTAGATATTTTGCTCCATAATATGTGAAACTTAACTCAGGTTTCTCATATTATGGAGCAAAATATCTACTAAAATGAATTCCAGAAAATTTCACTACATGTTTAAATTCCAGCAATAATTTTTCACTACAATAAATTCCAGCAAATTTCACCACATGTTTAGCTTTCATTCTTGTTTGATCGTTACAATAAAATTCTAATTTTTCTTGCAGCAGAATATGCATAATTCTTTAAACTTTTGCATTAATTCTGATCCATCTGTTCCAATATTTCTCATAATTTAATAACTTAATATTGGAGAAAGATGTATCTCGAAAATAATGAGATAAAGAGACATGAAGAAAAAAGCAGAAACCAGCATAATAGAAAAGTAAAACCTGTTTCAGGTGGAAGGTCTACTGTAGAACGTTTTAGAAGGTAGATGCGAATTTTCATTTGCTTTTCAGAAACTCAGTTGAAATGGGAATCGAAGTTTTCTGGCACAGTTTCAATAAGAGCTCCGCTTTCAAAAAGAGCCTGCTCAGTAATGTGAATCAGTTAATGAACGAATAGCACATCTCTATTCTTGGCACGCTTCCAATAAGAACTATCCTTGAACTGTAAAAGAGCTACCATTCCTTTTTCTGGAATCAACGGTTCATTCGTTCAGTAAAGTGACTCGGTTCTTTGAATCAGTTTCGGATCAGAAAGTGCAGCTCTAATGTATGTAATTAAAATTCATTGAAATAACTGTTCGATAGGTAGTTTTCTCCCCGAAGACGGTTAGACTAATCATATGGTCGAGTGAACAGTCAATTGATCGTAAGCGACTTCCTCTGGGAGCATTCATAATATCTTCCATGCACTATGCTACTGGAGAAATTTTACTCGAGAGGAGTGCAGAATTTTATTTCATATGAAATTTGAAGCTTTCCGTTTGCTACAGAAATTTATTCGATTGTAACGCCTACAGTCCTGCTTAAACTGATAGCAAAGGAGCCTCCAAACCAGCACTGTATTAGCTACAACATTTAATTTAAATATTCTCTATAGTTTTTGGTTAAAATATGAATGACAAGTTTTAAATGACATACAGCATGACATCATATAAATTAATATTAATATAGAATGGAGCTGAAACTATAGTTTCTGTTTTATTCCATAGTTTTTAAGTATTACTTTTATGAAGAATCTCAATTAGAAGAATTATCCCAATATTCGTTATTTCGTTCATTTAACTAATTTTAATTCTTCAAATATCCCTCTTTTCAGGACATGGAAGGGGATGACTATATGATTCCTAAACACAAGCAACACGATAATCCATTTGCTGATCCTTCTGATCAGAAAAAGAAACTCGACATCAAAGGTAAAGATTTTTTTAAACTATCCTTATTATAACTCATTTTGATACTTAAAAGTATCGTTATAATTAATGTTTCTAATTAACTATAGTACCACTATAATTAATGTTTTTGCATCTAAAATTATACCGTTTATCTATAAAATCTATCTATAAATTTATCTGTAAAAAATAGAAGAAACTTTTATTTTCTTTCGTATGAAACGTTTTGCCATTTACTCTTAAATTCCTTTTGCAGGATATATTCATTATAATTTCCACCAGATGAAAAAGATAAAATTGTTTCGACGATATTTAAGTCATATATTAATAGAAATTCTTAATGCATATAAAGTTTAAAAAAGTACTTTAAATTCAAAGAGATAGAAAGAAAGATATTCTTCAATTCTTCTTGCATTCACAAACCATTGCATATTGCAGTATAGTGAACATTCATTTGAATAATTAAGATACAATAACACGCCGAACAAATATTAATTTAGAAGTCAAACAACAAAAATCAGTGTTATATTTTCAAATTTTCAAAATATTTGAAAATAGCACCAAAACTAATCATTGTTCAATTTAATTATGTTTCTTCGTTGCAGATGTTATGGTGCTAAACGACATAATCGAACAAGCGGCAGGAAGACAGAGTAAAGCAAGTGAAAGAGGTAATTACACCGTTGTGTTACAGCCTGCCTATCTTTGATGCAGTATGCAGTAGTTGAGACCCTCTTAGAAACTCTATTATACCCCACCAGTATAAATTTAGTTGCATCTGCCTGAATCATAAACAAAATGCATCAGCATCCAATTAAGCAGGAAGTAGTCCAATGCTGAGCATGACTTAGAAGATGGCATTAGAGCTATGCATGTGGTTAATGTTAAATATATTGATTCGTATCTTTAAATTATGTCTATTACTTTCAAAATATTCTATCTGTATTATACTATGAGTTACAGTTTATTAAGTTTCTTTATTCTGTTACTGAATCTATATGATTGATACTATCTGCATCACGCCAAAACTACATATCTGAAAAATCATTTATTTTTATTTATTATTTACCAAATGCCTGGCCATTGGCCATGAGGTCATTAAGCAACGAGCTTTCCAATACAGTCCAAACTCTTAACTGGCTATTGGCCATGACTTAACTGGGCATTGGTAACTGGCCATTGGCCATGAGGTCATTAAGCAATGAGCTTTAAAATACAATCCAAACTATTAAGTGCAGCAAAGTACACGTCTAGATGAGCAGCGTCCATTACTAGTCCAGAATCATACAAAGCACATAAAGGCGAGGCAGTCAGATTAAAACGAAACGAATGAGCAAAAAGGCAATCATGTCCAGTCAATCGTCTAAACTCAGCCACAGCAGTAGCAAGAGGAGAGTCCGAGAGACGGTCAGCTTTTTATAGCACCTTCCATGACTTATTTTCAGTACCATATTTCAGACTTATTTTCAGTCTACTAAAATATTTTTTATAAATCCTATTCATTTCAAGTTTAGCAGTCGAAGACCTTTAGAGAATATCCGTAGCAATTTTTGCCAAAAGATCCGCCATCTTTTTTCCCCAAAGCCCACAATGCTATGGCACCCACTGGAAAGCAACCTTTGTCTGAATTCTCTTCAACAGCTCCCTGCAACTCTGGACACAAGCACTTTTCTTTCGTAGGTTACTTGCTAAGGCCTGAAGAGTAGAATTTCAGTCCGATAAAATACTTGCTAAGGCCTTATCAAGAAGAGAAAGACGGGCAGAAAGCAATATCAACGTTTATACAACAATTCTTAAACATGGATCTTCAGACAATAAGTGTCTATTCTTTTAGCAAGAAGGCGTTATCAGAGAACAGTCAAAAAATGAATGTAAACGAGATTTAAAAAAAAATCTGATGTAGATAGTAAATGACTTCCTTGTACAGCCTATTAAATTATAGAGATTTTTACTGCATTTCATTTAAACTTATTTCCTCGAATTGTTAAACATAGAAAATGCCGTGGTTCGCAAAGCAAATATTTATTACCGAGATATGCAGAGATACATGCAGTTACATGCAAGCAGAAATACAAGTAAGCAGAGTAATACAAGCCAATTCCAATTCCAATTGCTTTCAAGCTCAGCACTAAGGTTTCAGCTACAAGCAGGAGTAATACAAGCTAACGATAAGCACTTACAGAAGGTCATTTATATAACTTCACAACAGATCATGGTTTAACAAATCATAAACAAGACACAATAAATAACCAATCAAAATAACATACAGAATGAGATTTAAGTTTCACAATAACTCGGACCTGGCTGAAAGCTAATGGATGTTTCGGACGTGACAGAAGGCTATACTTCCTTTAAAACAGTAAGAATGCGATTACAATATCTCAACACTCCCCCTTAATCGCAACATATACAAAACATAAAAGAATTACACAATTTTTTAAACAGCTCAATGATAACAGTTCATAGAATTTTGTTTTTGGACAAAGCTTAGTTAACATATCTGAAATTTGTAAACTTGATTGTACATATTCAATTCTTAATATTATTTTCCTTTAACAGTCTTACGAGTGAAACTAAAGTAAGTATTTTATATCTAATATGTTTCAACCTTACCTGAAAAGTTTTCATTAACAATAACTTTTGAATACATGACAGGTTGTCTTCAAAAATATAAACATTTTATCACTTGAAATTTCATTTACTACATTTTTTATCCATAAAACATCTTCAATACCTTTACATTAAAGCAATTATTTCAGCTTCTGTTGAATGAAAGTGCAATACACTTTTGCTGTTATTATAGCACCACATAATAGGATACTTTGAAAACATTATTAAAGTAACCAGTAATTAATTTCCTATCTTGAGTATCTCCCCCCCCCAATCTGCATCTACATACAAAACACAAGTTTGCCCTTTCCAAATCACCCTTTTTGTATATCAATTTTAAATTTAATGTGTTTTTCAAGTACCTAAGAATTCTTTTTAGAGTACACCAGGCAACATCAGTAGGATGCTCCTGCAGTTGGCTCAAGCAATGTACTGCAAAAATAATATCTGGCCGTGTGATATATGCTAAGTAAAGTAAAGATCCAATTAATTCTTTGTATGGGCCATGAAATGCATTTCCTTTCTGAAAATCAGCTGCTGTAGATTTTGGTTCAATGGGAGTTTGGGCTGTTTTACAATCAGGGCATTTTAAATTTATCAAGTAATAATTTTTTAATATATGGTTTCTGATATAAATATAAACAACCAGACTCAAACTTCAGTCTAATGCCCAAAAATTCTGAGACATTTTCAGATTTTGACATTTGAAATTCATTTGATAACAATGATATTATAATATTTGTTTCTTTTACATCTGAATCTGCAATTAATAAGTCATCTACATGAAGAGCCATAATTACTTTCTTACAATTTAAATTTCTGATAAAAATACATGGTTCAGAGTCCAATTGCTTAAAATCTAATTTAATTACAAAATTAAGAAATTTCTGATACCATTGTCGAGGAGACTGTTTAAGAGCATATAAACTCTTTTTAAGTTTACATTTCTACCACTCATATCATCATATCCTTTTGGGCTGGTCCATGTAGATGATTTCATTCTAACTTACCGTTCAAGAAAGCTGTCTTGACATCTAAAGTAAAAGTTTGCAAACCTTCATTATTGATAATTACTAGGATTAAACGTAAAGAGCACATACTAATCACTGGAGAAAACGTTTCTGTATAATCTATGCCTTCCTTTTGCATAAAGCCACGAGCAACAAGCCTGGCTTTGTAAATTCCATCTCGTTTTTACGTAGAAACCCATTTGCAGGAAAATGGCTCTTTTTTATCAGAGGGGTAAACTTTTGTAGGTCCCAGACGTCGTTATCTTCCATAGATTTCATTTCCTCGTCCATAGCTCTTTTCCATGGTTCTTGTTCTACTTGTGGTAGATTTACAATATCTTCAAATGTCAGAGTGTCTTGTGCAAACATTACTTGGTAAATCTCAGGATTAGGATACCTAACTGGTTGTTTCTTTTCTCTTTGTAGATTTTCTTTGTTCCTCCTCCTTCTTATTTGCAGCATTTAATTTGCGCCGTTATCAGTGTCTGAAATTGATTTGTCTTCATTTTTAAAGTCATCATTGTCATTTTCATTCAAATCAGAACTATCGGGAACGTATTTTTGATTTTCTACTCTCTTCTTTTCTTCATTAAATTTAACATTTCTGGAAACAAAGATGTGTCTTGTTTCTGGAATCATTAAACAACATCCCATTGTGGAATAACCTACAAATACCCTTCTGACAGATTTTTCATCTAGTTTCATTCTTTCTTTGCGATGGTGGCACAAGAGTATAAGCATCACAGCCAAATACATGCATGTTTGTTAAATCAGGATTTTCACATTACTTCAGAAAATAAGGAACAGGATTGTCAATTGAACTATTTGGGAGTCGATTATTTATGTAAGCGCCGTAAGTACTGCTTCACCAAAGAAATTTTGGTAATTTTGCCTCAAGTATCATTGCTCTAGCTTTTTCCAGTACAGTTCTATTTGCTCGTTCAGCAACACCATTTAGAAAGGTATATAGGGAGGTGCAGGATCTATTTTTACACCTGCTCTTTTAGCAACTCATGCAATTCTCCACTGACATATTCTTTGGCATTGTCACAGCGCAGTTTTTGCAACAGTTGGATTCAATTTAAAGAATAGCCAGAGTTCATCAGCAATGTCACTTTTCTTTTGAGCAGTCTGAATTTCCATAAATCTCGAATAGTCATCAATTATAGTCATGAAATACCTTTCCTCATGGAGTGTTTGAGGTTCTATTGGACCACATATCAGTGTGTATAGTTATAAGCGGTTTGGATTTTTTATGCGAGGACCCTTTCCTATAGGCAAAACACTTTGTTTGGCACGAACACATACTCACAAAGGATTCTTTTGCAGGAAGATTCATCAGTTTTAATTTTTGATCACAGCAGTGTCCTAACCTTCTGTGCCATAATCATCATTCTTTACTGCTAAAGCTGTAAATAAATTTTGGTGAAAAATCACTAAAATATTGTCCGCATTTATCCAGTATCCAAATCTAAAACGCTTGTTTTTGTTTTCAATATAAACTATTCCATTTTTAAAAATTACGCTCAAACTGCTGCTTCAATATTTTTAACAGAAATTAATTGTCCGTTTAATTTTGGAACGTAAGAACATCTTTTACATTATTCAACACCATTCTTAGTTTTACCGCAAATATCACCAATTCCTTCCACTTCTAAAACCGCCGACTTAGACGCGCACTTAACAGTTCCACTTTAGGCTTAACTGAGGTGAACCATTCCTTGTGAGAAGACTATGAGAAGTTGCACCAGAATCAATAATAAATGATCATGCCAAGATTCCAGTCATAAAAGATTATTGCGGGGGAAGCATACTATTACTATTTGAATTTGCCTCTTTTAGAATATCAAAACATTCACTTTTGAAATAACCACTTTTCCCACAGTTAGGACAAACGCAGTTCTTTTCCTACAAAATTTAACAGAATGTCCTTTTCTTTTACAATAAGTACAAAACAATTCTTTACGGCACTAATAAAAACAGAGTTATCGGTATTGGTTTAGAATATTATTTTCATTTTAATAATCAACATAAGAGATTCACAATCATAA